GGCTCAGGGCTATTGCTTTCACCGAGTACGGCGCGTACTGGCGGCACGCGAGGAAACTGTGCGTTAATCATCTCATGAACCATAGCAAGCTGGACGCGTACGAATCCGTCAGGAGCGAAGAGATTGGGAGGTTCGTCGAGGGTTTGAAGATTGCATGCGCTGACCGACAAGTTGTTGATGTCACCAACAAGGTTCGTTTCCAATTTGACCGAAACGTGTTGCCATTTTGTTCTGAAATTAATTTGTTGGAGATTTTTTTAATAAAAAGGATTAAACGGTGATTTTTTTTTGGGAAAAATGCTTCCAGCCCCCAAAACTAATGAAAACAAACTTCCCCCTCCCAAGACTTTTTCAACGCTCTCAAAACCCCCAAATTCGTAACAAATATGCACTGAGCCCCCAAAACACAAAGACCAAGAGTATTAAAATTTGAAGACCATAATACCCTTTCTCTCTCTTTTTCTTTCTTTATCTGTGATGATTTGAAAGGGTTCCTCCGTCCCTTTCCCCGATGGCGGCCGTCATCATGTCCCTCAGCAGGGTCCCCACCTCCGCGATGAGATTGCCCCCTCTGCCGTCAACCTCGCCGTCACGAGCATCGCCCCGCGCACCGGTATCCTCCCAGGATCCACATCAGCCTCCCCAACCTGGGCCCCACCATAGTAAAGCTGGAGAGAACGAAGCATAGTTAGGGTTTTTGATGAGGAGGTCGAGGGTCATGTTGAGCTCCACGCGGATGGCCGGGAACGTGACACGTGGAGAGACGCCGGTGACGGCGAGGATGAGCAGGAGGAGGTGATGAGCAAGAGGAGGATGACGAAGTTTACGGCGGCGGTCGTGGTGCATGTGCGTCGGATTTTCAAAACCTGGATTTTGTTTTAGGTGGTGGGCACTTGCTGTGATTTCGTGGCTTCCTCGGTTCGTTTTGAGATTGAGGAGGTGCAAGAAGGAAGTGGGTCATGTTAGTGATTTTAATATTTTTTTTATTTTTTGAAGGGTTAATTGAGGAGGTGGAAGAAGGAAGTGGGTCCTGTTAGTGATTTTAATCTTGTTTTTTTTGTTTTTTGAAGGGTTAATTGTTGGTAATTTTCTTTTTTCTTACTGATTTTTTGTAAGATTCGGAAACATATATAACAATATATTTTTAGAAAATGAATATTTCACTTTTAATTTTTAGGGAAATTATAATAATATTTCACTTTTAATGAGATTTTCAAAAGCCAAGTGATTTACGCGTTGGTTGTGAAGGTTACGCGTCGCTTGTTAAGGTTACGTGTTGCTTGTTAAGGTTACGTGTTGGTTGTTAAGGTTACGGGTTGCTTGTTATGGTTACGGGTTGATTGTTAAGAAATTTTTGCATGGAACTGATGATGGCTACGATATTCTACAAACCTTATTCCGGGTTACGGGTAACCTTATTGCTAAGAGCCTAAGAGCCTTGTTGCCAAGGTTACGTGTTTGTTGTTTAGATTACGGGTTTGTTGTTAATGTTACGGGTTTGGTTGTCAAGGTTACGGGTTGATTGTCAAGGTTAATTTCACAATAAACATGTAACATTAACAACAAACGCGTAACCTTGACAACAAACCCGTAACCTTGACAACAAACGCGTAACCTTAACAACGAATATTCTAATTAGTTGTAAAATTAACCTTAACAACAAACCCGTAACCTTGACAACAAACGCATAACCTTAACAACCAACCATTATTCTTAACAACGAATATTCTAATTAGTTGTGAAATTAACCTTGACAACAAACCCGTAACATTGACAACAAACGCGTAACCTTAACAACCAACCCTTATCCTTAACAACAAATATTCTAATTAGTTGTGAAATTAACCTTGACAACAAACCCGTAACCTTGACAACAAACGCGTAACCTTAACAACCAACCCTTATCCTTAACAACGAATATTCTAATTAGTTGTGAAATTAACCTTGACAACAAGCCCGTAACATTGACAACAAATGCGTAACATTAACAACCAATCATTATCCTTAACAACGAATATTCTAATTAGTTGTGAAATTAACCTTGACAACAAACCCGTAACCTTGACAACAAACGCGTAACCTTAACAACAAAAGTGTAATCTTAACAACCAAAATATATATACATATAAATCCCAACGTGTAACCTTAACAACAAACACGTAACCTTAACAACAAATCCGTAACCTTAACAACCGACCACTAATCTTAACAACCGACGACAAACCTTAACAAAACACAATAGGAGACAAATAATCAAACTTCAGGCTTAACATAGATTCTATTTATGCCATAAAGGAAAACATATCTCAATACTAAAACCTCACACACGCATAAATTAATTCGCATCCATCAAAGAACACCAACAACAAACTACAACCCACAATCAAAGATACTCTTTTTTTATTCCCACATACAATAACACTATTATTTAGTAAAAACAACCTGAAGCAAAGAAACAAGACAAATGCTACCTAAGTGGTGAGGATGGGGGGCATGTAATCAGACTTGGTTCAAATAACACGAGCCTTTGTATCGGGGAAAAACTCCGTCCTTGGGAGCTCTGTAACAACTCCTTCACTGCTTACTCCAATGGGATAGCTAAGTAAATGTCCAGGGAGATCGCGTTCCTGAGAGTAGAGATCCCAGTATTTGTCAGCGATACGCTTCACTTTCTGTACAAACTCGACGCTCTCTAGATGGAGGAAGAAATCAGATCGTCAATGCCGGGGAGACGGACTGCTCGATGATGGCGACGTTGATGTCGGGGTTCTTGGAGAGCTCGTAGGCGCAGGAGAGGCCGACGGATTCGCCGCCACCGCCACCGCCGCCGCCGCCGACGGTGTTAGCGTAGGTGATTATGTCGGACATGTAGCGGCGGGTCATCTCGCGGGAGACGATGGATTCTTTGATGGGGCGGAAGCAGATGGAGGAGAGGTCGTAGGATGTGGAGATTTGGGGGCGGAGGATGACAATGATAGGGAGGAGAAAGATTGGGTTTTGAAGGCGGAGATGAGCTTGAGGCCATGGAAGGAGGAGAAAGAGAGGAGGTTGCGGTGGTTAGGTTTGGAGAGGAAGGAGGATGTGACAATGGAGGGTATTATGGTCTTCACGTATCTTAATTTCTTGGGTTTTGTGTTTTGGGGGCTCAGAGAACACAGAGTTTACTTTTGGGGGTAAAACACACGTTGAAAAAGTCTTGGGAGGGGGAAGCTTGTTTTCATTAGTTTTGGGGGCTGGAAGCATTTTTCCCTTTTTTTTTTGAGGGGGGAGGTTGGGAAGTGTTTTTTTAAGCGGCCTAGCGGGATGAAGAAATTCATCGGGTTATTTTTGTTGGGGATTTTATGAAGATTAATCTGCAGAATTAAACACTGAACGAATAACGACAAACACCAAGATTTAACGTGATTCGGCAAATCGTTTCTACGTCCACGGGGCCGGGCAATCTAGAGAAAAAAATATTCCACTATGAATCAAGAGTACAATCCCTCCAAGTTACACCTGAACTTGAGTATTAAATCACAAGATCAAGATACACTGTTACCTCTAGGGTACCAAACCCTAAAAACCGTCTCATCAAAAATCTCCAACTCCCGCGGAAAAATCAGCACCGTACCCTTGACGGCGTCATCGTTCTAAAGACAACGACTTTTGAATTACTACAATCGGACAACCGAGCCATCCGGAATCTGAACTTCTCTCTCTCCCTCTTTTCTTCTCCCTCCCCGTTTTTACGGGTTACTGTAGAAGTACTGTTCATCCGAAAATCAAACCCTCGTTTCTCTTGAATAGAATTCTCCAAACATATTCCATTTTAATTAGAACATCCAAATCCTCTCCTAAAAAGAATTCTAATTTATATGGACTTCTTATATATGGGCCTTAAGTAAGGCTGGACAGCTTGGACCCACGCAAATATTTTTTTAAGACTACCCTTTAACTCTTTTTCTTTGCACATGTGTGCGAGTGATATATATAGTTTGTGAATGTAGGACTCGTAGAGGATACATCGGTAAAGACGAGCGTAACACTCACATGCAGCGGATCGTAACGAAATGTTTAATTGCTCGGTTGAAAATTTCGCCTATCCTTAAATTCAATCTTTTTACCTAATTAATATTTCTAACATCATCGTCTCCGTAAAAACTTTAGGTGAGATCTCTTGTAGCGGACATCGTGTGCAGAACCGTGATGGGTAGAAAATGCATGGAGGAGCGCATGGACGGGGCGAAATTCAGCGAACACATTCGCGAAGTGATGAGAATCCTTGGATCATTCAACCTCAACGACTATCTTCCCATGTTCAAAATGTTCGACCTCCAAGGGATGAGAAAGCAAACGAGGGCGGTAAAAGTACCAATCGATAAATTCCTAGAGACGATCATCGACGAGCATGTCAGTCTTAGGGAGCGTGGAAAGAAGCCGAACGATTTCGTCGACATGTTGTTGGATTCGGCGGATGACCCTGACTCGGAGATTAGGCTTGATCGAGCTAGCATCAAAGCAATCATCCTGGTAATTAACTAATTAAGGAAAACACATGCGATTCCCGATCGATATCTTCTTGTGTGTCTGTCAGCTAGACTCGAACATATCGAATTTGATCGAACATATTAATTCCTTTGTTATTCTAGGATGTATTTGAAGGGTCACTGGACACGTCACCAGTCGCCATCGAATGGGCCTTTGTGGAGCTCCTAAGACACCCGGAGACGATGAAAAAGCTCAGAGAAGAGATCAGGACCGTCGTGGGTATGAATCGACGCGTAAAAGAATCAGACCTCTCGAGACTCACCTACCTACAGATGGTCGTCAAGGAATCGTTCAGGCTCCATCAACCGATCCCCTTTCTCCTGCATCACAACAAAAAGGAGTCCACGCTCGGAAACTACAAAATCCCTGCGGGGTCGAACGTCATGATATGCATATGGGCCATGTCGAGGGACCCCAAACTGTGGAGCAACGCGGAGGAGTTTGTACCCGAGAGGTTCGAAAACGACGACGTGGACGTCACGGGGCACGATTACAGGCTGCTTCCCTTCGGGTCAGGGCGAAGAGGGTGCCCCGGGATGGTATTCGGGATGTTGGTGGTGCCGTTGATCTTGGCGCAGCTGGTGCATTGTTTCGACTGGGAGCTCCCGGGGGGGACGCCGCCTTCGGAGCTGAACATGGAGGAGAAGTTCGGGATCGCGATGCCCAGGGTCGAGCATCTCCGTGCCGTTCCCACTACTTATCGTCTACGTGATCAATAAATATATATGCAAGGCGTAGAAGGATGTGTGTATGTGTATCCAGTAATAAATGCACGCGCATGTATACAATTATATATATACATATCAACTTAAATGATGAAGCGCATGCGTATGTGAAATTGACTTAAATAATGGACCTGCATGCATATCACCATGACGGTTGCCAGCTGCGCTCTAAATCTGTATGTAGAGGGTGCGCGTCATGTCGATCTTCAAAATTTCTGAGACAAACGAAAATGCTCTACTGTTGATGCTACAGTCATTGGGAGATGACGCGCACCAGAAAGTAGTACGTGCTCTATTTGGCTACGTACCGACGACTGATCAGTTGGCAGGTCGGCCCGATAACGTTGCTTTCTTAATTGTTAAGCACTAATAATTAATGTGTGGGGTCTTGAAATAAAAATGATTCCTATTGCATTTGCAAGTTTTGATCCGTTAGGAGGGGGGGAAAAAAGGAAAGAAAAAAAAAGGAAAGAAAAAAAAAGAAAGAAAAACGAAGGGACTACAAGCAGTAGGGATATGGGTGGTGTTATATTAGGAATGAATCGTAATCCTTCACAACGTTCATCAAACATTCAATAATCTACTCCTCTATACAAATGAGAAAACACAAGGTTCACTATTTATGCTATAGTAAATACTATAATAATATTTACTATGGTATTATTACTGTAGAAAACATGAAACTGGACATTATGATTTTAAAAAAAAAAACTATAACAGAGACGGGACACTGCAGCAATTGAAAAAAAAATCTAAAAAACTGTAGCAGTTAAAAAAACAAAATTACTGTAGCGAAAAAAAAATATATGTTCACACTAGTCTAAAATTGGAAGTAGCAGCCTTTCTATGTTTTTTGGCGTATGTCACCGACTGCAGAACTTTCCTCCAACAAGTCACATGATTTTCGACCCGTATAATTTTCTGAATTGAAGCCACTAAGCGAGTCCAAACCTCTTCCGGCCCAACGGGATAAGCACCAAACGCCCAAAGTCAGCAGCTAACTGGCCCAACGAAGCTTTTTTTTTTTTTTTGTTGTTGTTGTGAAGAATAGAGATCGGACGTGGCTAATGGAGGAAGCCCAGATCTAATTAGGATTCGCTCCGCTTCGTGACTGCCGCCGAGTAGCTGCTGACGTTTCATTTCTCTGACGAGAAAGAAAGCGGATAAAACCCTAGTCGTCTCTCTAAACCCTGTCTCCTCGATTTCGCCGAACCCAAAAAGGCAAAAAAAAGGAAGGGGAAAAAAAAAAAATCCCCGGAGGAGAAAGGAAAAGAGAAGGATTTTACTTACGACAACTGAAATCTATTGTGAGCTTAATCTTCTTCTTGCGCTAGGTTTTTGTTTTTCGGTTAAACCTAATGCATAATCCCTTTGTTCGATAATTTTTTTCTAATTTCTGTCGTTTTGGTTTTTATTTGTAAGTTAAGATTTGACCCCTTGAGATCCTCAAACGAGTTACTCTACACGTGAGCATTCAATTCAAGAATTGTAGCTTATTTCGATTTTATTTATTTTTATTCTCCTAACAAATTCCTAGGTGCACACAAAAGGGGTTTCTTTTCCCTCCATCATCTTCACGTGGATGAGGAATTTTAGGATTGATTAATGTCTTGAGGTTTGTGATTAAACTCCTAATTGAAGTTAATTAGTTATTTCCCTGAATTCAAAATATGCAGATCTTCAGTTTGAGGGAAAGAAGATTCACGGTATGGCTTTTGCCCATCGATGCGGTGTCCATTGTTACTCGGTCCCTTGTACCGGTCATAGTTCACAGACAAGAATACCTGCAGTTCTAGAATACCCTAGCTGTAATTTGCAACAAAAAAGTTTGACTAATGTGGCATTTAATGGAAAGAGAGTTAATGGCAACTCAGAGAAGGCCACGGCTTCACGACACTCAAAACCTATGAAGCCCAAAAATGTAAATACGTCCGCTTTATCTATGGATGGATACTTTATTGACTATGATGAAGAAACGAACAACGAGATCCTCTGCAAGTTTGCTGAGAATGGCATGTTGGTCGAAGCGGCCAATTTGATTGATGTCATGGCGAGACGAGGGCAGGTCCCTGACTCCCTGTCCTGTATCAACTTAATTCGTGGACTTATCAATGTTGATAAATTGGAGAAAGCCAGCCGCATTCTTAAAGTGATGGTTATGTCGGGAGGTGTCCCTGATCTGATCACTTATAATAAGTTGATTGGGGGTTTTTGTAGGAGAGGACAACTGACTCCTGCCATGCAAGTTTTAGAGGACATGTGCTTTGCTGGTTGCCCTCCAGATGTGATTACTTTTAATACTATGATTCGGGGATTTTGTGATGAGGGAAAATACGAGGAGGCAGTTCGATTTTGGAAAGACCAGTTAAAAAAAGGGTTTCCTCCATATGTAATCTCTAACACTATTCTTCTCGAACTTGTATGCAAGAATTGCGGCATCAAAAGGGCTATGGAGGCTCTGGAAGATTTATCCTTAGAGGGATGCTGTCCTGATATTGTTACTTTTAACTCTCTTATCAATGTACTTTGTAAAGAGGGAAAATGTGAGGATGCAATTATTGTTATTCCGAGCCTCATTGAACTTGGGTTAGAGCCAAACGCTGTCACATATAACACTTTACTTCATTGTGTCTGCAGCAAGGGGAACTGGTCTGAAGCCGATGATATTATTTCACTCATGAGTCAAGGAGCCCATTCCCCGACAGTGGTTACATATAATATCTTGATCAATAATTTGTGCAAGTACCAACTTTTGGATCGTGCAATTGATTTCTTATATAAGATGGTAGCTGAGGGCTGTTCACCTGACATAGTCACCTACAACACACTCTTAGGGGCAATGTGTAAAGAGAACATGACAGAGGATGCTCTTAATCTACTTTATTACATGAGGAACAACAAATTCCCTTTGGTTTTAATCACTTATAACACTGTGATTGATGCTTTAGCAAAGATGGGAGAAGTAATGAGAGCTACGGTTCTATTTGATGAAATGGTTAGAGATGGTATCCATCCAGATGACATCACTTATGGTTCACTAGTCATGGGCTTTTGCAAGAAGGATATGGCAGAGGAGGCAGTAGATATGTTGAAGGAGATGTATAAGAGAAATTGCAGAATACGAGGCATAACTTTTAGCTTAGTTATCCAGGCATTATGCAGGCAAAAGAGGGTTGATACTGCTATTGAAATTTTGGATATGATGGTCACCAGTAGTAATAAACCCAGTAAAGCAATTTATGACTCCCTGGTCAGGGCCGTGTCTGCATCTGGAATGGTAGAGGAGGCTACTGAACTTTGTAAGAAGTTGATCGAGTACAAAATTCTCAGAGAAGGCTCTTTGAGTTTTTAGTAGTTTCGATCTCCGAAGTAGCCAATTTTGACTGCTATTTTATGGAACTAACGGGCCTTTGGTTGATTATATTGCAACTGGTAGATGTCATCTGTTTCTTAGAGGTTAGATTTTCTGCCTTCTCTTTCTTACTTTTACATTGCGACAATACTTGATTAAATGCTTTACGCCTTCTATGCTTTGGCTTTCCGATGTGCAAGTTTAGTCAATTAAATTGTTATTTTAAAATCAAAGCCTTTACTTAATTGGGACTAGCATGATACTTTCCTTTCACACATCCATGTAATCGAAATTTCTATCTATTTTACCATCAAAAGAAGATTGCCTATGGTTATTAGCCCTAAGCTTTCTTTTTACAAAATGGACAAATAAAGCATAAAAAATCACCAATTTGGTACAATTCGATTTAGTCCACATTATATTGATATTGTTCTAGTGAGGTATCTAGCTAGAGATGGGGATACAAATAGGTCTGACAGGCTGAGTTAACTGGTAAAAGGGGCACCTATCAAAATAATTCCTCAAGAATTCTTCTCAACTTGTAAAGACATAAGGGGTAATTGACAATTTGAATACGGAATCCCTGTCATATCTTTGTTAGGGAAACCATTTAATGTTCTTTCCAATTGGGAAACTACAGTTTAAAAGGTCAAACATATTCAATATGGGGAATATTAAAACTGTGTTACCTATTTGTTTCCTCAAGAGTGAAGTTACAATGTAGAGTAAGTAGCTTGGAGGAACTATTTTGCCACAGACAACAGAGTCGGAAAAGATTGATTGTTCATTTTAAAAAAAAAACTTCTTTTAATTTTTTTCATTGATTCTTAACATGCTGAAAACCCTATCTCAATGCTATTGATAAGAAACAAAATAAACTCTTTAGTGTTGAAGCCTTTTTGCCTTTTATCCACGAATGATGGAAGTACTGCGATTACATTTTCAAAATTGCAAAACAGGCCCTTCGGCTTGTGCAGGCACAATTTACAATGAAAATTGTTGGAATTGAACATAAATGAGCATTGCCATAGATCAATATATAAGAGGCTTAGAGCATCACTAACTTCCTCTAATTGAAGTTGGCGGCAGCCAAAATTATAAGAGCATCACTGACTACCAAATAAGGTATAGAATTGTATGATACTGATGTTAATCAGGATCAAGCTAATACTGACTATTAAACTACCAAAATGGAGAAGAAACTTCGGTCGTTCGAGTGAGAAGTTTCAGGTTGATCCTTATATCTTATGTGAATTGTTTATTGTTTCAGATCTACAGTTCATACTGTAAAAATACTTCCATAAGGAGGCATCTCATTGTCGGGTTTCAGTATCTGAGACATTTCTGCTGTATGCTCAATGTAATACAATGGGTATGGACAGTTTGCTACAATGTTGGCACATGAGAATGAAATCCAAAGTTTTGCAGATTCGGATTCTCAGAATAACAAATACTTCCAGCAACGATTTTTATTTTCTGTATCATACTCGGAAGGTAATTCTTGTTGATTTATTTCATTTTCCAAGTATCACATTTCTTTTAAGTTTAATTATTATGGACATTTCTTTTAGCTCAAATTATCGACTCTTTTGCCTCCTTGTGGCTCGGTTTAAGTTTGTTTATACTCTTTCATTGGTCAGTCTCTTGGACAGAGTTTGCATTATTAACAGGCTAATCTACCTGTCATTGAGGAGCCGCGGAGCTTCCTTGTTTCCTATAGAAGTCTGTAACACAATTTGTGGAGCACGTAGATAGCTAGAGCTATATACCATTTGGGTGGGGTGGGTGGGTGGGGGGGGCAATTCCCTTTTACATGTTCTCAAAGACGAAGTCTCTAAAACGTTATAACCCAAAAAAGAACAAGAAAAATAGGAAAATTGAACGAAAATAGGAAAACTGAACCATTCCAAGCAGACCCCATTTAAATATAACCCGACCCTATTGGATTCACTACAAAGAGCACGGGCTGTCCCAGACCCGAAGAAACCTGTTATGAATGTCGACCCTCGCTCGCTTATGCCTCTTCTTCTACTTCAACGGGTTGGGCTATCAGACCTGTGTCTGAGAAGGGCGACTTCTTCGATTTGTGCGAAGAACGGGTTGACCCGTCATCTGACGCTTTGCTCCGCCTCTCTTTCTTTTTGGTTCTGGGAATGGAGGGGACGTCGCGGGCGGGGATTTACATGTCCGATCCAGTAGGGTTATTCGGATCTGTTGTGGAGCTGGAGATACGCAGTTCCGGGTCGCGAGCCAGGGGTTTGGGATCCGGGTGTTGAACCCGGACCCGGCGCAGAGTGGTGCTTGCGGAGTGTGGCGGGACCCGCCTCACGTGCAAGTGGGACTCGAACGCGGCTGCCTCAGAGAAAGGAGAGTTCTTGGCGGGAGTGACCGGGACCCGCCCTCACGTGAGGGTGGACTCGAGCCGGCTGCGCCTCAGAGGAAGAGGAGTCTTGCGGGAGTGACGGAACCCGCCCTCACGTGGAGGGGGAGTGGAACCCATGGCGCATTCGAGGAACCACAGTGGCGCAGTGTGCGTCGGGGGCCTTGATGACTTGCTCGTCACGTGCGGGGGAGGGAGGCGGGATCCTACCGAGAGGAATCTCTGCAGCCAATAGAAAAAGGAAGATTTTAGATTCTTATTTCTTTGAGAATCCAAATTTAGAGATGAACATGGTAGTAGTCACATTTTTAAAATGGTAGTAGCAGCACAAATGACCACCAGTAAATATAGAGTACAGTAAACAAATAAATAAATAAACTGAAATTTAGATTTGAGAAACTAAATGGGAAAAAGATTTGTGACCTTGAGATGCGGTTTTTGGTGAGCCAACCTCTAGCTTTTCCCGTTCAACCGACGCGCTCAACGGTGCGGAATGGAGGTCATTCATCTATTCACATCGAGATTGGAAACAACAATTATATTATGAATTAAAATCAAACTACGTACTATTAACTGAAATTGAGGAATCTAAAGAGATTTAGATTTACCCATGCAGGGTTATTTACAACAGGACCATCAAATCCGATATGCGCTACGTGTTTGACGTCTGTTGGGTTGCCAATAACCATCTCTTGTTCTTTTTCATTTTCTGCAACATGAGAAAAGAGAAGGATAAGATCTTTAATGCTTCACATATATATATGAGTTGCAAAAGAAAGGTACATCTAGATGCACATTTTTTTATGGATGTCGAATCTCACCAAATATGCCGGAGATGTATCTCAGGCCTTTCAAGAGACCTTTTACCTTAACAGGAGGCACGGTCAACATTTTCGCAAAGATACGCTTGAAGTTTTGAGTCGCAAGTTCTCTGTCGAACCGCACGTATCATTGAAAAGAGATCAAAGCCCAAAACTTAGTAAACACAATAAAACTCATGTACAAGGTAAGATCAGATTACTATCGAAGATCACATTTGTGGTTATCGTGTTGTGATCGTATTGTGGTTATGGATGTGTTGCTCGATGCATACTTAAATACACACACACACACACGCATCAAATAAGCACAATCAAATTGTTTTCGCTTACTTTAAAGATAATATGCTACGCGAGACCTCACGATCATCTCCCACTTCTCGCTTAGTATACTTGTCTTTGAGAAGCGAATGCTAATAAGTCCGGAGCTAATGTTGGCAACGAGAGATTGAAAAGAAAATAGGAATGAAGAAGAAAACAAGAGATTGTGCTAGTGCTGTTGTTGATCCTCAATTCCAAGGCCTCGGTTTTAAAACGGAGCCTTGGAATGGGCAACGGGACGCAGCCACGAGAACTCCAAAGAAATTG